GCTTGCTATTGATTTTATTGAATTAATTAATTATTTCAATTGTTTTAATTATTTTCGGGTGCCCCAATAATTGAAATAATTGAAATAATTAATTGCCGGGCCTTACTATTGCCTATGGAGAGATTTACCACCTATTTAAATTAATTGAAATAATTGAAATACTTAAATCAAGCCCAAGTAATTATTTCAATTATTTCGCTTATTGGGGCACCCGAAAATAATTGAAATAATTTAAATAATAACTTGGGCTTGATTTAGTTTTTTCAATTATTTCAATTATTTTCGGGTGCCCCAAGTATTTAATTGGGCTTGATTTAATTATTTCAATTATTTCAATTATTTCGATTATTTCAATTATTTAAACAAGGCTGGACCCTTCTTTGCTATTAATTGTATTGAATTAATTATTTATTTCAATTATTTCAATTATTTTCGGGTGCCCAAATAATTGAAAAAAATGACATAATTGAAATAGTTAATTGCCGGGCCTTACTAATGCCTCTGGAGAGATTTACCACCTATTTAAATAATTGAAATAATTAATTGGGCTTGATTAAATTATTTCAACTATTTTCGGGTGCCCCAATAATTGAAATAATTGAAATAATTAGTTGGGCTTGATGTACTTATTTCAATTATTTCAATCGGGTGCCCCAATAATTGAAATAATTAATTCATCCTGATTTACTTATATCAATTATTTCAATTATTTCCATTATTTCCATTATTTAAATAAGGCTGGATCCTTCTTTGCTATTAATTTTATTGAATTACTTATTTATTTCAATTATTTTAATTATGTTTCAGAATTTACATATAGAGTAGGATAACCCAGGCGTCAAATAGACCCTAAAGGAGCCTCTCTCATATATGTATATACGTATATATGTATATATGCATATGTGTATATATATATATTATATGTATATATGTATATATGTATATATGGAAAAGCATAAACCTAGCCACCAACCAAAGAGCTGGGGTTTTGGAGTCACAGATGAGGGAAAAATTTGGGTCACAGATGAGGGGTGAACCTGACAGTAGCAAGTGATTCGACTCCTGCCTCTTGCTTTGATGCGCCCAGCACCTATGATCATGACCAGGGCATTGCGCAAGGCGGAAACATTGTGTAGGTTCAGGGCAAACTGGAAGCATGCACTGGGGGAGTGCGCGACTGCTACATCGTAGCGGCCCGCGCGTGGGAGATAGAGCTCGCACCAGGGCCTGGGATATTCATGAGGTACGCATAGGCGCGCTTTGAGATGATACTGTCTCATCTATATCAAACAACACGAAAACCTTCAAAGTGTTACTCAACGAAAGCCCGGGGGCTTGCAACCAGAGTCTTCCTTGCCAACGGATCGGTACTCTCGCCTCGTCACAACGCCACAGCTACCGGGTTCCTGCACATCCTGGTGGACCACCCCGAAGCGCGAGTCCGAAACATGTACCGCCACATCGTCCACGGCGCCAAACCCACCACAGACAGCGTAGTCCGTTCGCACTTCTGGGCTGAAGCTTGGAAGAAGGAAGCGCTCATCCGACTCGCTCTCCATGCCAAGAATGGGTGGAGGAGCTCCAGAAACTACCATGACTGGTACGACTAGACCTTCGGAATTCGTCATATCCTGGGTTGCGGCGATCTGAATGGCTCTGTTATCATCCTGCAACGTCTGAAGCGCACCGGTGAGCCGGAAGAGGGTGCTTAAACTGTGGTTTCCCGGGCTCTCTGCAGTAAAGGTCGATCCTGGGGTCAAGCGCACCCACTTGCCGCTGAAAACGGTGTCCTGGAGCCACTGCAGCAAACTGCTGTTCTTCCCGGCCACACCTGCATCACCTGCGTCAGGGCCCCAATTGCTCGCGATTCGTGACAGGTCGGCCCTGTCTTGGCAATTTCCTGCCCCATCGCGCCTAAATCTGGGTAGATCGCCTGCTCTGCGCTGTACTGGTAAATGCAGAAGGTCGTGTCGCCAACATTCACTACTTGTTCAGCAATGCACTTGTTTTGCTGGCCTGTGTCACAGTCGGGAGACTGCTCAAGCTCTGTGGTTTTTCAGACTGCTTGAATAGCTCACGATCCATCATTCCGTGGTCTACGTGGCAAGGGGCCTCTTGTCCTTAACCCTTTGCGGTGACCCAATTCCGGGGACTTAGATTAACAGGGGTTTATGCATTTTAGGCCTGAAACCTCATTTTGTCACGTACTTGGCGAGCTTTGTCCTTATTTGTTTGTGTTTGAGATTATTTGTTTCTATTTGTCATTATTTGTTGGTAAAAATTTCATGTTGATCATGTTTGTTTTTATGTGATTGATTCAAAGTCTGGCACTGGCGGTTCCTTCGTCTTCGACGCTTCTTCTCTATTGAAAAATTGCAGGTTTTTGAACTATGTGTTTTTAAAGTCTTACTGGTAAAAACTTTTTAAAGTTTTTAAACGTTTTACAAAACTCTAAGATCTTTTCAACACTTTTAAATGTCTTTAAAATCTTGTCAAAACTTTTTGGCTAAAAAACACATATCAAGAAATCATTTGTATTTGTCTTTATTTGTCTGGATCTGTCTCTATTTGTCCGGATGTGTCTATTATTGAAAGGGTCAGGGGTCCCTTTGAAACCCTGCTATCAGCACTCACTTTTGCACCGAAGGGGCTGCGGTATGCAGCATGTTCATGCATGGTATCAGAATAAGCTTTACATCCTGACACCCCTCCATGGACTGCTCCCCTTGGGGAGTATGTCCACCTGAGCAGGATGAACCTGCTAGCCGAGCATTGTTCAGGCTTCAAAGCTTAAAACGAATTCAACCTCCACAGTTCCCACAGGGCGTGTAGCCGGAAGCAATGGCCACGTGCCTGGGTACCTGTGTCACACTGCCGGGTCTCATACGCCTAGCGTGGTTGAGATCTCCGCAGCTGTTCTTGTGAAACCTCTGGCCACTCACCGTCAGGTAGACGGGTCTGTTTCCCTAGGTCTCCTTTCTCTCACGCTTCTTTCAGTAGAAGCAGCCTTTGGTGGAGCAGTCACCCCAGCGCCGGTGACTACAGGGCCTTGGCTTGAAGAGCTGGACCCTCCATGGCCTGATTCGCCGATCACGGTTGGCGATGTAGCAGGCTCGCAGTCTTCACTTGTGCAGGTTCCCACCTCGTGGGTAACTGGCGTCACCAGTGGCAAGCACCTGGGCAGAACCATCGCCTGGTCCAAGAAAGGCTACACCTGGGAGAGCGACGAGAAGTACAGCCGTACTTTGGTCAAGGAGTTTGGCCTTGAAGGAGGCAGCGGCATGGACTCGCCGAGCTGTGACCAGCCCTTGGACTCCCAGCATGCTGCCGATTTCCGCAAGCTGACAGGAACAGCTTTGTACCTCAGCTTGGATCGGCCCAGCATACAGTATGCAGTATCTGATATTGCATCGGGGATGGCCAAGCCAACCATCCTGCATGTGCTGAAGCTCAAGCGGCTAGCCCGCTACCTCCTGAAGCATCCGCGTGAGACTTGGGAGTTTGAGTACCAGGAGACACCGCCAAGTGTCTGTGTGATGAGCGACAGTGATTGGGCGACCTGCAAGACCTCGAGGAAGTCCATGAGCTCATCCTGTGAGCGCTTTAGGGCACATCTCATCGATGCCTCATGCGCGCGACACGCATAACGAAGCAGATCTGGGATGTCATAGGCTTCCCAGGGCTGCCCCTCGTGGTGCAAACGGATTCCACCGCTGCAAAAGGAATTGCCAATCGCAAGGGAGTTGGGCGCGTCAAGCATCTTGATATCCGTGACTTATGGGTTCAAGATATGACAAGTAAAGGACTTCTCAAAGTAGATAAGTTAGAGAAGGTCGCAACAAGCAGCAACTGGGCTGACTTGGGAACTAAAGCGCTTAGCGGCCAACGCATTGGCGAACTGCTGAAAGTAATGTCGCTAGACCGAAGGGGCCTCATAGCGGCACTACTGGCAGGTTCCTTGCAGCTGACCAGAGCCCAAGGTGAAGAAGACGAAAAGTCTGAGTGGAGCCTTAGCAGTTCAGACTGGTTCCTGTTGTACCTTGTGATGGTGCATCTTTACCTCCTATGGTGCATCTTCAGATGCATCCTTGGGCTTTTGAGCCGACGGAACCAGAACTCGCCTCCGCACTCAGTGTCGCCTATATGCGAGGCAACACCTTTGTCTCGAAGTTGGCTACCATGACCTCGTCAAGCTTGTCGAGGTCCTGCGCTTCGCCCTCGGCCAGGAAGTCGTCTCCGTGACACGAAAGCGTCACGTCCCATCCGGGATGGTAGAAAAAAGTCCTGGAACGGACGCGACCTCAAGGAACCCTGCCTTGGTCATGACAATCAGGATACGCTTGGCCCACTGCTTGCTGGCTTCGCGTGTCCCGTTTATCGCCTTGAGCAGGTACCAAAGTGTTCCTTGGTCTAGGTCCTTGGGAGGGACCACAGCGATCTTGCCCGTCGCCGTGGCGTGGAAGAAAGCGACCGACACGTCGTAGCGGGCTATCAAGCGCCGCCGTGACGTTCTTCCTTTCTTGGCTGTGGCAGCAGCGCTCACAACCATTCTGTGTGCCTCCAAAGGCGGAGTGCCGGAGAACACGTCGTCTCTCTGGTGCGTGTTGACCTCTTGGGCCACACACCTGCTACGCACTCCCTTTACGTCGTCAGGAAGGGCTTTCCAACCGTCGACCCAGCGAGTTCTTACGATCTTCAGGCCTTTCGCTCTGGCCTCTTCCCAGGTGATGTCGCGTTTCACCTGATGCTCTTCCATCTTCTCAAGCTCTCGGCCTCTGGCCTTGCGAACCTTGTCCAACGGAAGAGGCTCTCCAGTGCGCTCGTCCCACGCAGCGTGGAGCTTGCCGGTCTCGGGGTAACCTGCTATCGGGCCCACCTCGTGCAGCGGCAGACCTCCGATAAGCTCTTGAAGGGTGACATCCTCAGCAATCGCTTCCTCTAAGGAGCGTTGAGGAGTCTCAGCTTCTCGCTTCTGGCCCGTGGCCTCAGTTTTTTTGTGGGGCTTGGCCTCAGCGTTGCTTGCAGTATCCTCGGCAGCTGGCCTGCGGAGTCCACTGCTTGAGCTTTGCGCTCCTTCTGGGAGTTCTTCCCAGGTTCCACGTGTGACGGCCTCTGCTGTCTCAGGGCGTTTGGTCTTCGCCCGCTTGGCCACAGGAGCAGGGGCTTCCCGCGTCCTGTCCGCCGCAGAGCTCGGTTTGAGAGACTTCTGCGAGGGTCTGTGGACGCACTGCCCAGCACCCCAGCTGCACCGCCAGCTGAAAGCATGGACCTGGAAGCTGCACCTCCTGCGGGTCGCTCTGCGGAGGTCGCACTCTGCATTGTGCGGCTTAGGGTTGTCCCCGTAAGCAGTGTTGCACGCTGCACATCCTGGCGTTGCTCCATGCTCGATCTGGCGCTCCAAGGTGATGTACACACCCCGGCGCCCTGGCGTACCTGGTGTATCTATAGGCGTTGTCCACGCACTGCTGTTGGCTCACCCTTGAATTGCCAAGGCGTGCCCTTCATCCGATCCAGGACCGCTTTGTCCCAGCGCTTGCCTTCCGGTCTCCGGTAACAGCTTCTGCATCGCCGGATTCCTTCAGGAGTCCCGACCAGATGTTCGTCTGAACTGTTGCTCTTGCCGAGCCACACTCTAACAGCAGTCTTAGGCTCCATCTTCCCTGGGGCCTCAAGCTTGTAGTGGACGACCTCAAAAGGCTCCACCACCTCACCACGGTACTCGCGCCCACGAAGGCGCTCGTACGGCGTCTTGCCATCGCTCTTGACAAAAGGAAGCGAGAGCTCAGCCACGAACTGTGGCGGACCAACCAAGGAAAGTACTGGTCCTCAACCTGCACCTTAATGCCAAAACGCATCTCAAAGGCACTGAGGACAGTTCTCACTTGCTTGGCGTTCTCGAGGATCGCTCGTTCAACAGCTCCGTTGGACTGATGGGATCCCTTGGCCGCGGTCTGCAGCGCAGCCTCTTTTCCCCAGCTCTTGGCCGCAGCTTCAGCCAAAGCTTTGATGATCTCTCGCCGTCTGACATGATCACCACCTTCTGGCGACCACAAAACTTAAGAGCCTCTGTGACGATGGCTAACCCGTAAGGATCAACCCCCTTATTGACTACACCAGAAAAGGTAGCCCCTGACTTGTGGTCGTAGACCACCAGCACCGGTATGGCGCCTTCTTGCTCGTCTTTGGGCTGCTTAAGCTCTTCCACCGCAGTGGGGTCTTTCTTGGCCTCAAGGGCCCTTCCAAAGAAGCAGTAGTCTAGGGAAAGCTTAGCTACCTCAAGCTGCTCGGCGCAGGGTGGTCGTCCTCCCTAGTCTTTCCTTGAACACAATGATCACACCAACTCCGATAGGGAAGATGTGTGATCATGTGGTTGTCGTACCCCTCTTTCGACACCGTTGCTGGTATCTTCTTTCTCCTCACACGTCTCTGGGCTTCAGAAACCTCGGGCGGCGGCTCGTCACTCAAAGCAGGAAGTGCACGGTCGAGTCCTCCGCCTCCAGACCCTTGTGCCGGCTCGCCCTCAGCTTCTCCCTCCTGTTGCTCCGGAGCAGCTTCCCCGTCAGCCTCTTCTCGGAAAACCGAGGCTGGCACAGACTTCTTTGCAGCACGGGTCGCCGCTACGACAGAGGGCTCTGCGCCTTTGGCGTCCTTGCCCTTGGTAACAGGAAGCCAGTAGACTCCTTGGCGCTTGTTAAGCGCAAGCTTCTCCTAGGTTTCTTTCACCACCGTCTTCAGCTTGTCGGAGGCGAAAGGTGGAACAAGGAAACCACCGGCAGGGCCTATCACAGTCCAAAGCCCTTTCTCAGCTGCTTCGCCAACCGACATCACTGAACACTGTTCGGATTCAATTTACTCAATCTGAAGCTTGCCGTTGCCTTCCAGACCGAGCTCGCTCTTCTTTCTTTCGTTGGTGTGCAGCGCCTCGCCCGTTACAGCAACCAACTGTTTGTTCAGGCTTTTGCCGGGCACTGCAGCGGGATCGAATCCCTTCTGGAAAAGGTGCGACCCGGCACCCGTGTCCACAAGGATCTCTGGGAGTGCCGCGGTGGCTTCAGGAACGGCCGGCGCAGAGACAGTTCCAGCCATCAAGGTTGGAGTTGCCAAAACCGGCTCGGGTTCGTACTCGGGAGCGGCGGCCGTTGGCCTCCTTCCGCCTCCCGGCTTTGCTTTTGCTTTGGGCTTCCCCTTAGGGTTCGGCTTGTCTTTGTCCTTGCTGGCGGCTTTCTCGTCCGCTATTCTCTTCCTGCACTCAGCTTTGGTGTGGTTCGGTTTGCCACAGTAGAAACACAGCTTCTGGTCAGACGACCCTGGGTTGCCCTTTCCTTTGCCCGTATCTTTTCCTTTTCCTTGTCCTTTCCTTTTCCTTTGCTGTCCTTGCCTCTGCTGGGCAGTGCGCCGATGTCCATCGGCTGCGGCAGTTGCTGTATCACCCTGTTGGTACGGGCAATGTCCAGCAGCTCCGCCTTGACCTGTGAGTAAGTGGTCAAGCGGGAAGCGTGGCGGATCACGTGGTCGCGCAACGATTGGTCCGTGAGCCCGTTGATGATAACACCAAGCAGAAACTCTTCGTCAATCTGCTTGCCGGACTCTGACTCAAACTGCCGCAAGGACCGCTCAAACGCAGCCAGTTCGGCCTCAAAGTCCTGGCCAAACTTGGTTCCCAAAAGAACCGAAAGGCTTCCAACGAAGCGGCTTGCAACTTTTGGGGCTGTACTCTTGCCACAAGAGGCGATATCCATCGACCCCCTCACCAATCCCAGCATTGTAAAGAACATCCAGAGGGCGACCCCTGGTGAGCATCACCAAGATGTAGTACAGCTTGGTGCTCAGCTGCTGGTCGCTGAGGCTCAATGCTCTGTTGGGCATGGGGCTTCGGTTATGCTCTGCCCGCTCCAGAAGCCCAACATACTGGGGATTGATGCAGGCAAGGTAGCTCTTCAAGATGAAGGCCCAATCTGCAAATGCCCGATTCACCTTTAAAGATGTCTGGCTTGCCCAACTGGCGAAGGTCAACCAAGTTTAGGTCTAGGTTGTTGTCTGAGGGCGGGGCTACCCGCACCTCAGGGACAGGTGTGTTTATCGACACCTGTCGCAACGGATCGGCCGATCTGAACATTTGCAGCTCTGTCTCCTTGGCCGAAAGCCGTTGGTTGAGCATCTGCAGATGCTCAGACTGCTGCAACAGCAGCTCGCGCAGATCCTGCGCCTCCGTTGGGCCCAATCTGGTCCGGGCCCATGGTCGACCAGTCTGGGCTTGACCCAGCTCCAGTTGTCCCGGATTCATCCTCTTCTTCTTCTTGAGGAACGGGCTCTACTTTCGCCTTCTTACGGCCTTGTGTGTCCAACACCCTGGCCTTGAGCCCAGCAATCGAAAATCGATTGAGGGCTCTTTTCCTCAAGACGGGTCTCAAAGCTTTCGTGCATTCGTCGCAAGACGAACCCGCTTCGTCGAGACCGTACTTTGCCATGGTCGCGGCTCCTAACGAGCCCTTGGGTATAGGCGAGGCCGCAGAAGGTCTTGGATTTGACGCCGCTCGCGAAAACTTGAGCGACGCCAATCCCTCGAGGCAGCCTCCAGGAGTTCCTTCCTGTCTTGGGTTTTCTGCCTCGACTCCTGGACCGGTCTAGGAACCGATCTCAGGCAGAGCCGCTTTGGTTCGGCTCGCCTCCTCTTCCTCGGCTTTGCTGCAGGCACCAGGCGCAGGCGAAGTGGAACCCCGTCATTGATGCGCTGCACTTCTTCCTGGTGCTGGCGCTCAAGGATGCGCCTTGCTGTCCTTAGACCTGCAGCCCTGGCCACGTCTTTTGCCCTTGCCTCAGCCCAAGGCCCGCGGGGGCTGCTCGTCGACTTTGGCCTAGCTGTCTGCAAGGGCCCCTAACTCACACGGGAGTACCGCAGTGAGCTTGCTCCGCGGGGCAACCCGCAGGAGCGGTTCCGCGGTGCAACCCGCAGGAACCGAGCCCTAGACCGCTTTCCAGGGTCCGGGCTCCGCTACCATGAAAGGGTTAGGGGTCCCTTTGAAACCCTGCTATCAGCACTCACTTTTGCGCCGAAGGGGCTGCAGTATGCAGCATGTTCATGCATGGTATCAGAATAAGCTTTACATCCTGACAATTATTGTTCTGTTTTGGCGTGTTTTGACGATTATTGTCAATATTTGTCTTTATTTGCCTTGACTGCCCAAAAAGTCCCAGAGTTCTACGTCCCCGTGATCGGGGTCACCGCAAACGGTCAATGATCCTGAACAGAAACCTAAAGAACCATGTCAAACATTGAGAATGCGACGGCAGAAGGAGAGCCTGCTGACTGCTCACAGCGGCACGTCTGGCCAAGCCGTGGGATTGCGGCTGCAGCATCCCCCTCCTTTGGAAGACTTGGGTATTGAAGGCTGCGGGTGCGTGGGCGGGTGCGGGGGTAACACGAACCGGTTTGGGGAGTAGCGAAAACTATCTCTGCGAGTCGTAACGGGAATGAGGGCTAATTGAAACAGGAGCCTCACCGTGAGCGTAACAGGAACTGTGCCAGGAAAGCCAAGCAACCGGAACTATGCTGGAACCCTTGTGTGGGACACCGGTTTTCGGTCCCAATAATTTGACACCATGACAGCCTTATGCTGCCGCCAATGTTTCGGTCGAGGCATATAGAGCTTGGGCTTGAAACAGATTCACGGTTTGGGATGTAGGCTGCCAGTAGCAATACACTCCTTGTCTCTGAAGCCACAAGTTGGTTCTTCATATTGCTTTGTCTTACAAGAAGGTTCGTACCAATGAAGGTCCAAGTTGTCGTACTACGAGTCCTATAGGTGGCGGCTAGGCTTGTGCGCGCCATCGTGGAATGACCAGCGCCAGCTTGGCTTGTTTTAGGCTTGCGGGTTTTAGGAATCTGCGGCTGTAGAGGTATTTACCGATGCTGTAGCCATGGGAAATTCAGGACAAAGGTTGCTGTGGACATATGAGGCCAGCTTCTAGTGCTACATGACATGATGTTTTGAAGCCGTATTATTGGGGGATGGCGAGCCCACAAGAGCAGGTGGATGTGAAACATGCCATGCTTGGAGCCCCGCACTGGTTCCTGTTACGAGGGGCGGCCTGGGGGGTGTTACAGGAAGTGGTGGTTGCTGGTGTGGGATCGGACATCCTGTTCCGGCAAACACTCGTGCGTGGGCTGAGACATGCTGAGACTTTGAGGATGACTTTCCCTTCTACGAGTACCCTCTCTTAAGGCCTAATCGTACCTGCATTCACGGGCTCCGATGCCCTGAGAAAAAAAGGATACCAGGAAGGTCTAGGCCAACGCCACATGGAGTCCACTTCAGGTTGGCGCTTTGGGGCTTGGCACTCCTGGAAGGGCGAGATCATGGGCGCCAGCACCAGGGAAGTCATCGTCACCAGCAGACTGGCCTTCTGTGAGAGGTCGATGTCTGGAACGTGCCAAAGGCGGTGCTTCAGCTGATACTGCAGCCGGCGCTCCTCGCGAAACACAACGCCTGCCAACTCAGGATATCTGGCTTCACTGAAAGTAGCAGAGAGGTTGAGTGAGATGGCCTTACCCACGCGAAGGATGTGAATCACGTAAGCGGTATCGGTGTAGTCTCCCACTGCGCGGAGCACGAGTCTAGAATAGAGTGGACCACTTGGAAGAGACACCTGCTGCTTGCCCGAGGAGCTCATGAAAAGCGGTTCCCTCTCCTTCTCTTGATCAAGCAGAAGAGGGTGCGTCAACTCAATCCATACACCTTTGGTAAAATCTCCCAGCTGCAGATACACCGTAAAGGAGTCTGCGTTCTGGTCCAGCAGCAAAGTGTTGTGAAAGGCATGGCTGCCAGCTGGATAAGTCAGCTTTCCTCGTGTGAAGCTGTAGTCCACAAGCTCGCCTCTCAGCTGCAGCACATCCAGCGTAACGCGTGCGACAAGCATCCTGGCACACCGTTGAAGCACAGATCACTGTTTTGACCTATTTTGGGGATCCGGTTCCACTACACGTCAAGACATCAAGATGTAAAATACTATTTAAAACGAACCCAGCGTCACGGCGATCACAGCAACCGCAGTGGTGAGGCGCCACACGATGGTAAGCTTCTTGAGTCTCTGGCTGGAAAGAGACGTTGGCTTCGTGGAAGTGCTTGGCATGGTTTCTAGACTGGCTGTGTATACCTCCTTGCTTGCCAGCTGGGGCTCCCGCCACTTCTGTCGCACAGAGCTGGTGTCATACAATGCCTTCGCATGCAACGCGAGGCCTAGCAAGAAACCTAGCTCGCTCATCACCCGCTTGCTGGAAGCGGACATGAACTTGACGAGAATGGTTCCAATCATCGTAGCCTGGAGCACGACGAAGCCTAGCACAACCTTTGTACTTGTCCTTCGCAATCGGAGCAGATGCCGCTGGGTCTGCAAGACTTCTTCGTACTGTATGCCCAGCACGTAGGTTCTGTAACGCTCTAGCATCACCAGGACGTGCGTGGGCACTGTACTGAAAACCAAACACATCAACGCTGGAAAGGAATAGATCCCTGTAAAGTACTCCACCAGAATCCACTGAGCTGTTACGTGCACGGACAGCATGACAAGGCTGCTTCTGATAAGCATAGGAAGAGGAGGCAGTAGGTCAGGATGTGCTGCAAAGATGGCTTGGGGTTTTGTCTCGACCTTAACTGCCCGCGGCCAGCAATCGCCCTCCTGATAGGGTCAAAGACACACCGGAAAGGGCTGCGTATGCTTGGAAAACTTGACAGAAGAAGAGCGCCCTATGCTGGCAAAACCCCCACCCCAAGCCTTGGCAAGGAGGAGCCACCCAGCCGGCTCTTCCAAGCGACCCCAAAGCTTTTCCGCAGGCTTGCCGAGCATCGTCTTGGTGACTTCTGCGAAGTCGCCTCTGACAATTGAAAAGCTGAGAGGTAGAGATACTCTTCCTCTCTGTGCTTCGTGCACCATGACGCAGCTCCCCGCATCCAGCGGCTCCGGGTCCACCTGCTCACCACTGTCGTGGTACCTCAGCAAGATCAAAACTTGTCTTATAGTCTTATAACCGCACGTACCAGCATCACGGAGCGAAGCGCAGCTATAAGAGCTCAAAGCTGCGGCCGCGGCACAGATATGCATGCTGCGTCAAGCAACACTTGCAGGGAAAGGGCCAATCCTCCGCCGCGAACTCGGAAGCCTTGCTCTCTTCTCCGCCATCTCTGTCCGTCCTGAGCATCGCATAGCCGGCAGAGAGAATGAGGGTGAGGAGCACCGCAGAACCACATGCCAGAACCACTTCCATGGCGAGGAGAAGCCAGGTCGGTGACGAACGGTGGCGGTCCAGGGCGGAGTACCAGCCCCCAGCCAGGGAGCTCAGGTGGAAGGGCAACTGCTCGAAGGGCAATTTTGCAACACACTGCGAGGAGGAGGGCGCAGGTCTGCACAAGTACCAAGTATCGAAGGCGCCTCTTGTGGTGGGCACCAGAAGCACACGCCACTGTGAGCTGACATTTCTAGGGTCTTCTGGAAACATATGAAGCTCCACCGCAGGCACATCTTCCTCCTCCCCCGGAACTTTGAGCAGAGCATCTCGGACCGTTTGGGTTGAGAGCTTGTTCTGCGCTGCTTGTTGCAGCATCGTCTTGACCTGCTTCACACGGAAGCGCTGCGCCAGCTGGGCCCGGCGGGCAGCGGCCGACTTCTTCACCTCGCGAAAGGGCCCAGGAAAAAAAGGTCACGGCATAATGCGGCGCAAGCACACAAGCCCTGTAGGCGGAAGTCAGGGGCACCCAACTCCTTTGGGGGCCTTCAGAAGCTTCACGCCATGCATGGGCTGATCGCAGGAAGCGGTCTTGGAGAGGAAAAGCTCTCGAGATTTCAGGAAAGTGAAGTCAGGCTGCAAGACCAGCGACCGCAGATCCAGGTCGCTCCTTTCACAAGCTGCAGGCAAGCAGGCAGTCACAGACGCAAGGAAACATGCCCCACTCAGATTGCTCTTATCCCATGCACAGCATGAGTTGCAGGGGATGGTAGGTGGCTAAAGCATAAACAGCGCCGAGGTTCGGAGTAGCGCTTGGACACTGACCATTGCCATCCTCCTTCTGCTCGACGAAGCTCAGGCGAGGCAGCGGATCGCGGACAGCTTGGCAAAGGCACCAGAGGAGGAGTTGCCAGACAACGCACATCCACATCTACACGGGTACGCTCGCGAGGCAAGCTGCGAAGACACGCGTGTTTTGGAAAATTTCACTGCGCTACTGTCAGCCTCGCAGCAGAAAGGAAGCTCAGCAGAAGCTCAGCAGGTGCCTGCCTCCAGAGATCATGGCCTTTGCGGGTGCAGGACTCTCTGATAGTATGGAAGTGCATTTTTTTCGGGGAAGGGCCCTTCGGCAGGATCCCAGTTTTGGGGCACAGAACAAAATTCCTGCTTCAAGAAACCCCGTATCAGCAAGGACTTTTTCCTGCGGTCTACCGGCGCTCCTGCTGCATGTTGGATCTGCAGTGTCTGCAGGCCCGGATGTGCTTACCTCGGTTCACAAAGTGAATCTCGCGCTCAAAGCACGCGATCACTTGTGGACAACATGGCAGATTTCAGGAAGGGTAGTCTCGTTCGTTTGTGCGCTGCACATCTGGAAGCTTTGACACTTGTCATGTGCATCAAACACCCGCTTGACGACAGACTGCAGGGAATGATGCGCAAAGATGTTATGAGATCCTAGCCCAAACCCCCCCCCCCCAGATACCTACTATAGGGTACTAGAGCCCCTAGGGCCCTATACAATCAATATATATATATATATATACATACATATATATATAGAGAGAGAGAGAGAGAGAGAGAGAGAGAGACTCCTCAGGATCTCTGCCATATTTCGGGCCGGGCCGCCTGCCCAACTCCACGGCCATAGAGCCCATGCCGCCCCCGGCCCCGGTGACCTCAGCCAACAGCAGCCTCGCCGTCTCAGTTGGAGGCTTTAAAGGCCAGGAGCCACTCTCCGGCTTTCAGCCGCCCTCGGGTCACGAGGCCATGGTAGCCTCGCCAATTGGAATTCCGAAATTTGGGGATCACGTGGGATGGACAGCCGGCGAATATTGGGGGAGAATCGGGAACACATTGAGATGCTTTTGTCCGACAGCAAAGATAGATGCGACAACGATAGGGAAATCAAGAGGTGAAGACTATGACGAGTACAAATTCCCAGCTAGATTGAACAAAAAGAACATGGGGCAGCCCATGCAGAACGGAATCGTCGCTTTTGGCATATCCGGACATGGGCTGTTGAATACTACCACGACTACTACTACGACGACGTGCTACCAGTCTTCTCCGCTCCCATAAGTTGAATTGTATATCTCGCTCCAGTCTTCTCCACTTAGCATCAGTACTCCTCTCCCTCACATGGGTGCCCAACTTATCCTCCTTCCGCTCCGAGACCACAAGCGAGAGCATGGTCGCCAGCAAACTGGAGTCTTGTGCAACAACTTTGGACAGGAACTGAGGGTCTTTCAAAACATCACTCCGGAAGCAAAGGATCGCGTCGATGACTTTCGCCTTCAAGGTCGGGCAAGAGATCGCAGCATCATCGGCAAGCAGAAGCAGCTCGGCTAGCGCTGTAGGATTCTTCTCTTGCATCTTCTTGGGATCATCCAGAATACGCAAAACAAGGACGAGGCAGCGCGACAGGAAGTCTGGAAGGATGCATTTGTTCCCGAAGCGTATCAGCTTCATGAGCATATGAAAGTCCAGGTTGGAGTCGACCTTCCCAGACTGTGCGTACTTCAAAAAGTGATCAAAGGCGTCGGGGTCAACGTCGCTCATGCAGACTTCAGCAGACACTCCCTCTCTCCATCCTTTGAAGAGCTTGGAAAAATACTCAAAGTGCATCAGCACACCCATAAGGCAAAACCGCTTCTCCGAATCACCTGAAAGTTTTTGCAGAGTAAATGAAAAGGTGACAGCTCGCTGCATCGATGCTTCATCTGTCATGTCTGGCTCTGCCCAACCCTCATGATCTGCGATGATGGCCTCATCCCGTAGGAGATGTGCCTGCCCCAGCTGGTCAAAGAACAGGTAGCCACTCTGCCTGCCGCCCACGCGGATCACAGATGGGAGCAAACGTGATGGCAAGCTCGCGTCAGCAAAATCGGCAGAGGTCAAACAAACGTGCACGGTAGAGGTCAGCTTTGTTGCTTGCACACTTTGACCAATTGGCTTGCCAGATAACTTGATCAACAATTGGGGCTTGAACTTGGCACCCTCCAACTCAAAAATGATGACCTCATCGTTGCCATGACCGCGAGCCAGAAGTCGGGGTGGAATTTCGTCCCTCCCGAAACACTTCTTTGGGAGCCCCATGACCTTAAGCCACTTGAGCTTGCCGGCAATGCCACGAGCTGTCATGCCACCCGATTGGGCTCCTGCCAAGTCCATTGTCCAGAAGCTGTCGTGCGACAAGCCCACGCATCATTGCAAACGTGAGAGCACAATTTCAATAACCTGCTTTCAGAAGTGATTTCGGACCAGCCAGCCCATGCTGCAGGGAGATCAGCATCACACTCGACAACGCAATCACTCGCGCCAAGCCTTGATAAATAGATATTGCATCTACGACGTCATTAATCACAATTGCAACTGCTCAGGGAACCTGGGACGACAGAACCTCATGTGGAGGCAATATAGCTGAAGAGATCAAAGATTGCCCATGCTCGTTCAAGATGACTCGGACTGATTTTGCCTCGGCTTGCCAGCATTTCCGTGGCACTGGGAAAAGATCAATCTGCGGTCCACGTGCCCGCCAATATGGATGCCGCCACAAAGTCAATATGACTGTCAGACATCGTTCGCGTCATGCTGAACAGCGGTGGGCCAAACGATCCTGTGCATTGGTCCGCGGGCATGTAACCAGCAAAAAAAAAAGGATGGCTGCCGCAATACACAGGGCGGTCCTTCGCTGGCAAATCGCCGCAAGAATAGTCCCATGGGGGTGCTCTCCTGCTGTATCACGACCCCATGAATGTGGGGCAGTATCGGTCTGCCAGCTTTGTGGCTGACCAGGATGGGCGGAAGCGCCGTGGTCGTCAACGCAGGCAGCTTGCGTGGGCATGCAGCCACACGCTCTGCAACATCACTGGGACACGGCGGCAAGAGGTCTGCGGTGTGGTTCTTATATGTATCGACTTGAAAGCTTTCAGATCTCGAAGCCCTATGCGAGATTGTGCCGTAGCATCATGTCGGCATGCAGCTTTTGCGTGTCAGTATGCTTGCATAGGACTCCTGTACGGGTGGCAGCAGCAATGGCAGCAGTGGCACCGCAAGAAGAACACCAGCAAAGCTAGTGACTTTCTTGCGTCTTGATGACAGAAGACCGAGCCTTTCACAAGCGGGCACGTGTCACGGTTGGGGCCGCCGGTGACGGCCCTGATCAGCAGCACAAAACAAAGACAAAACACAACAATAATCATAAGTAACGATATCGCTCCATTGCATGCGATGAAGGGAGCCACCCCTTCCCTTCAGAGCCTGTTCTGCCCCGACACCAGGCTGTGTAGCCACCCGTTCCCTTCATAGCGTGTTTTGCCAGTTTTGCCCCAAAACCATGCAATGAAGGGAGCCACCCCTTGCCTTCCTGGTGTGATTTGCCCCAAAACAATGCAATGACTTGAGCCTCCTTCCCGCTTTGCCCAAAATCATGCAGTGAAGGGAGCCGCCCCCTCCCTTCATAGCTCCGTGTCTTCATGACCTTTTTCTCCCCGAGACCACGGTTCCCTCGTCTTCAGGCTCTTTCCAGCGAGCTCAGGGGCTGTGGCAGCATGTTTTGGGCATCAGCGTGCTGCTCGGACGAAGAGGGGCTTCAGCTCCGTCCCATGGGTCCCACACGTCAAGTCATGGCGATTCAACAACTCTCCACCAGCATGCCCGCCCAACGTGGGAGGCACTCGGGGCCCGATGCAGTGCGACGCTAAACTGACTCAAGTCGCGCTCTGCCTCTCTTCAACAAGGTGCACAAGCCGCCACGCCGACCTGGCAGATTTAGGGGATCGCAAGCTGAGATTTGAACTCTCCAAACCTCGGCGGGACCTCCGCCTGGCTCCCCCATCAGGTCCGGCTCGCCTCCGACCTGCAAATCCCCAAATCCCGCCAAGGCTTTCGGGATTCGCTCGGCTTGCTGGGCAGTTTTTCGGGAAGGCCTCGATATCACCGCGACAGCACATTACTACCGTCGGCACCGAAGGGTGCAGCTAAGCTTTCACAGCAGCTCACTGTATTAATCTCACTTCACCCAACTCCTTATCGCTCCGACTCCCGAGGTGTGCTGCCCGGCCACTTTAGAGCCTAAAAACCCATCCTTGCTGAAAAACGAAAACTCAATGCCGTGCGATGTTATGGCGCTTTGGAAGGAACTACAGAGACAGAGAGGGACAGAGAGAGAGGCCAGCCGCCGAGCCTGAGCCCACGCCGGGCGAAGACTGCCTTCAGGGAGGACTGCGAAGGACCTGAGAAACAGCAGCGAAGGACCGCAAAGGATGGTTAGGAGGCAAGGTTTAGCCATCTCTCACCGGTGCCTCCACGCAGCCGCCGGGCGGCGCGGCGCAGCTCCGCACGGAGTCGTGCCAGGCGCTGCTCGTCCAGTAGGCGGCCCAGGTCCCAGTCCTCGGCTTCAGCTCCTGTCCTCCTCTTAGTAAAATCAACCAGATGGCCCACTTTCCGATACTGTATCCCATCCGTGTTCTGTCAGGCTGTTGCCTTCCAAGCCTCCGTTTCCAGAGGGTCTTCCAGGGCCAGAGCCGGACGACCGACGACGCTCCGCCGGGCCTCCGCAAACACTGAAGCTGAGGCTTCTGTGCCGTACAAAACAATACTGTATGAGCATAAAAATATAATGTATACGGATGACAGAGGGAAGGATTCGAAAGAAGGAGAAAGGGCTGAGGCATCCACACGCTCGGCCACTCGCACCGAGGCGGCCTCGACATTGAAGTCGTAGCCTCTGAGAAGAAATCGCTGCAGCAGCTCCCTCTCCCTCTCCACTTCCTTGCATGTTGCACTCTTCTCTTCTACCGAGTCTCAGTCTCTCTCTCTCTCTCCCGTTGCTACTGCCCTCTCATCGAGGCCGGTTCCGTATGCAAAGAAGCGGAAGAAGGCTTCCAGGAGCCTCGCTGTGAGTCGACTTTCTTGGTGGAGCTTTGGAACTTTGGGGCCACCCCCCCCCAGCTTACGTCCATGTGTGCAGTCAGGCCACGCCGGCGAGGTCCATGGCTCGGGAGACCCAGATGCAGTCTTCACCTTGGAGCACGGCTTGGCTTTCCCATAGCATAGGCTGCTTCGTACTCACTTTGGCGTCATGCTTTTGCATAACCTCCTGCTGACGGCTCGCGGTAAAGGTACTCCAACAAACCGAGCCGCTGAGCCGGTGCCAACGAGAGACCTACTGGGGCCGGGGCCCCCGCATCTGCGGCCGATGCCCAGGCCACGTTGTAGCACTCGCCCGACTCTTCCCAAAGCCGTCTCTTCGTAGCCAGGGCCTCTCAAAGTCTGAAGGTTGACCCCTCGAGACCCAACCCCTCGATGCAGTCAGCAGGGTGGGTTTTTGGTCTTGTTTTTGTGTCGAGAGGCCCTTGAGAAAGGGCCCTCCTCCGCGGGCCCTCTGCCCTCCCGGCTTCCCAGGTGCCATTACATTTTATGTACCATATAGTACAGTAAATAGTATATTATAATATATTATATATTAAGTTATAGTATATACCATACAATATATATATATATAGATAGATAGATAGATAGATAGATATATCTTAGAAGATATGGCTGTTTTGCATATTTTACATTGGGCCTGCAGCGAAGGCACCAGGGGCGGAGCGGCCCTCTGAGCAAAGGCCAGGGCCAGGAGGCTCCAGGAGTAACCGCCCGGGTAGCCCCTGGCAGCGACTGGGCTCGCAAGCGCAGATAAAGGCAAAGGTAGGGTTTAGTGCTTTTGTAAGGTTTACATAGGGTTCAGGGGTTTTTGGGGTTTAGGGTTTATAGGTTTGTATAGGTTGGTTTTGCAGTTTAGGGGAGAGGGCAGCTGTCCGCTGAAACATCCCTTCAAAGGCCGCTCTTCGGGGGCAAAGGCCTGGTTTGACCGCTCAAGCCTCGCAGCTCGGCCCAGCCTGGGAGCTGCTCATTAATGGACCCCAGTGGTGTTTGATCAAACTGGCCCCCAAGCCCCGGGCGTTTGACGGCAACCACCAGATCGCAGAGGCGCTCATCCAGCAGGGAATACCTTAGCTTAAGCGCACTCGCACATACATAAGAGTCAACGTGGTGTCCGTTGGGCCTTTTCTGCCGCAAACGATCTTTGGCGACGGTGAGAGTTTTTTGGCACTGGGAAGACCGTCGAAAGGACGTGGCTCCTCCTGGTCCTCCTCTTGGGCGTCTCGTCAGACATTTGTCCGCGCCACTGTGAGCACTCGCTGCTGCTGAGCTCCTACTTGTGCTACCTCTTGTTGTTGTTCTTGGGACATTGCTAGATCCATTGCTAGTTTGCGCATTGAGGACCTGCACAGCTGCTGTGCGAACTGTCATGCATTCTCATGCTAATGTCTGGCGAGGCCGCTTAGAGCGATCGTACATGGCGGCAGGTTAGCTGCCATTCTGGATTTGAGCTTTTCGTGGCGCATCCCGCAAACCATAGGACACGAACAACTTTGAGACGTGCGCCTAGAACCTTTCGTGGCGTATCCCGCGAAGATAAGATAAAACACGAACAACTTTGAGATGTATGCTTTTCGTGGTGCATCCGGCAAAGATAACACACGAACAATCTTTGATAATCTTTGAGATGTGCGCTTGGAGCTTTTCGTGGCGCATCCAGCACGCCATAGAACGCGAACATCTTTGAGATGTACGTCTAGAGCGGTTCATGGCGCATCACGCGAAGATAGAACACGAGCAACTTTGAGATGTACGCTGTGAGCTTTTCGTGGTGCATCCGCCAAAGATACAACACGAACAACCTTTGACATGTACGATTTGAGCTTTTCGTGGCAAACCATAGAACACGAACCACTTTGAGATGTGCGCCTAGAGCGTTTCGTGGGGCATCCCGCGAAGATAAGATGAAAAACGAACAACTTTGAGATGTACGCTGTGAGCTTTTCGTGGTGCATCCAGCAATGATAAAACACGAACAGTCTTTGACCGCTTTGAGCTTTTCGTGGCGCAAACCATAGATCGCGAACAACTTTGAGATGTGCGCCTAGACGCTTCTTTCAACTTCGTTGCTTGGAAAACCGACTCGACAGCTAGGCAGGCTTTCCACATTTATTTGAGCAAAGACCAGCACAGCAGGAAAATGAAGGAAAACAGTTGCTGTTCTTGAAATGTGCTGTGCAGTATCAAGCTTAAACCATGAGATGCCTAACACTGTGGATTAAGATATGTAGACATCCGGCAAGCTATGCATCGTGGGGTGTGTCCCGTTAGAACTTGAGACTAAGCAGGTCGCGGCCATTAGCGAACGGTTCTCTGACTGCTTGGATTTGGATAGGTTGCGTACTTTGTGCATACAATACTTGTCATAGCTCAAGGGTGTGTACATCAGCCGCTTTGCAATTAAGCAACCTCTCCGATACTTAGCAAGTGAAACTTCCCACTGGAATGACAGCCCGCCGCTGCCTAGGCTGGCCGCTTATGCAATGCTGGAATGTCAGCCTCAATTTCGAGCACCGCCTCCATAGTGTGAAAGCCGTGCGAATCAAAGGCTGGCGCGTAATGGGACAGTCCTGCAATGGAGCTGTGATTGACATGCTCGCAGGCTCAACTAGCACATGGAGCCCTCACAATGTGCCAGGTGGGGCAACAATCAGAACTGTAAACTGTTGTTTTTCCGCTGGGGTATGGAATGTTGGCAAGGAGTGCAATGTCCTCGAGCAGGACCCAGAAGACATCGAGACGCAGAGCATGATTGCATGCGTTACGATGATACACTGGACTGGGCTTTCCGAGACTCTGACAGTCGCTGACATCATCTTTCTGCACTTTCCTACATTTTTGGGATAAATCAAACTTGAGCTGCACTTTCCTACATTTTTGGGATAAATCAAACTTGAGCACTGCCGCATCGCCCAACCCAATAATTAGCCTTGCGCACAGCGTCAAACACGTTTGGCCGTTTGGATGTCTACACACTTTTGTGTTTCAATCGAGTGCTTGCTCGCGGCTTGCAGACAAGGTCTGCAGCGTCGAGGCGATGAATGCAGAGGACATTACCATCCGTACTGTCGAAGTTGAGTCACAGCGTGCTCAGATAGCGGAACCCGATGCGCTGCTTGCAGAGCAGCCCGTCACAATCGCAGAGGCGCCCGCTGCACAATTTTGCACTGGCTCAGGGCTTTAGTTCTCAAACTCTTGACAGGCCATGCTCATGGGCGCTGGAAAAATGAGGCTGTGCTTGTAACTCTGTTGTGCAAAAGCAAGCCCCTCAAGCTTGCGCAGGCTGCCAGCATCCGCAGAGATTGAGCGCCCACATTCTGCCGCTGAACTCTTGGCCGCATCCCGCGAAGATAAGATAAAACACGAACAACTTTGAGATGTATGCTGTGAGCTTTTCGTGGTGCATCCGGCAAAAATAACACACGAACAATCTTTGAGATGTACGCGCTGAGCTTTCGGGGGCGCACCCCACTAACCATAGAACACGAACAACTTCGAACTGTCCGCCTAGAGCGTTTCGTGGCAGAACACGAACAACTTTGAGATGTATGCTGTGAGCTTTTTGTGATGCATCCGCCAAAGATCAAACACGAACAATCTTTGAGATGCATGCTTTGAGCTTTTCGTGATGCATCCCGCAAACCATAGAACACGAACAACTTTGAGATGTACGTCTAAAGCTTTTCCTGGTGCATCCCCCAAAAAATGGAACACGAACAACTGTGAGATGTGCGCCTAGAGCGTTTCGTGCGAAAATAAAACAAGAACAGCGTTGAGATGTATGCCTTGAGCTTGTCATGGTGCAGTATCCGCAAAGGATACGATAAAACACGAGCAACTTTGAGATGATGCTGCGAGCTTCTCGTGGTGCCTCTGCCAAAGATAAAACACAAACAACCTTTGAGATGCACACTTTGAGCATTTCGTGGCGCATCCCGCAAGCCATGGAACACGAACAACTTTGAGATGTGCGCCTAGTGCGTTTCGTGGCGCATCCCGCGAAGAAAGAACACGAGTGACTTTGAGATGTACGCTGTGAACTCTTCGTTATGCATCCGCCGAAGATAAAACACGAACAATCTTTGAGATGTACACTTTGAGCGAGCTTTTCGTGGTGCATCTGCCAAAGATAAAACACAAACAATCCTTGAGATGTGCGCATTGAGCTTTTCGTAGCGCATCCCGCAAGCCATGGAACACGAACAAGTTTGAGATGTGCGCCAAGAGCGCCGCATCCCACGAAGATAAGATAAAACACGAACAACTTTGAGATATACGCTGTGAGCTTTTCGTGGCGCATCCGCCAAAGATAAAACACGAACAATCTTTGAGATGTACGCTTTGACCTTTTCGCGGTGCATCCCGCAAACCATAGAACACGAACAACTTTGAGATGTGCGCCTAGAGCGTTTCGCGCATCCCGCGAACCTTTGAGATATGCCCCTAGAGAGTTTCGTGGCGCATCCCGCGAATATAGAACACGAACAGCTTTGAGATGTACGCCTTGAGCTTGTCGTGGTGCATTATCCGCCAAAGATAAGATAAAACACGAACAACTTTGAGATGTATGCTGTGACTTTGTCGTGGTGCATCCGGCAAACATAATAAAATGCTAAAAATCGTTGGGATGTACGCTTTGAGCTTTTTGGTGCTGCATCCCGCGAACCATAGAACAAAAACAACTTGGAGATGTGCCCCTAGAGCATTTCGTGGCCCATCCTGCGAACATAGAGCACCAACAACTTTGAGATGTAAACCTGGAGCTTGTCGTGATGCATCCCGATAAATCACGATCAACTTTGAGATGTATGCTGTGAGCTTTTCGTGGTGCATCCGGCAAAGATAAAACTCGAACAATCTTTGAGATGTACGCTTTGAGCTTGTCCTGGTGCATCCCGCGAAGATAGAACACGAACAACTTTACATGTACGCCTTGAGCGTTTCGTGGCGCATCCCGCGAGGACAAGATGAAACCCGAACAACTTTGAGATGTATGCTGTGAGCTCTTCTGGTGCATCCGGCAAAGATAACACACGAACGATCTTTGAGATGTATGCGTTGAGCTTTTCCTGGTGCATCCTGCAAACATAGAAAAGAACAACTTTGACATGTGCGCTTTGAGATTGTCCTGGTGCATTCGGCAAAGATAAAACACGAACAACTGTGAGATGTATGCTTTGACCTTTTCGTGGTGCATCCCGCAACCGTAGAACACGAACAACTTTGAGATGTATGCTGTGATCTTTTCGTGGTGCATCCGGCAAAGATAAAACTCGAACAATCTTTGAGATGTACGCTTTGAGCTTTTCCTTGTGCATCCTGCAAAGATCCGCCGATCCCGCTTGTGGTCGAGCGTTGGGGAAGCCCTCCAAGCCCTCCTCTACCCGGCGCCCCTACACCCTACGCAGTGTGGTTCAGAAATGACGCAACTACGCGTGCAAACCTATCCACCGAGAACTTGCAAAAAAGGCAAAAAGACTGGTTCCAAACTAAGTTGACTAAGTCAGCCATCACTTCGAGCTTGGTCATCTTGGGAAGGGGAACACTCTCCTCGTCGCGCCGATACTACACGCAAGGTCACTGCAAACAGTGTCGCGAGCCAAGCTCAGGCTGAAGCGAGCTCAGACCAACCCTCCCAATGTGCAGCAAGGCTTGGTCAAGGCTGAGATCTAGCAAATAAGTAGATAAGTAGAGAGATAAGTAGATAAGTAGCTAGGTAAGAAGGGGCACCTTGCATCAGTTTTGACTGCTTTCTGTCAGAGAGTGCCGGGGTGCAGACCTGCGCCGCCCTCCAAAGAGGTCAGCGCAAGGTCCGCGCACTCGCCGAAACTTGACAGAGCTGCAGTCAAAAGCAGTGCCCGCGGTAAGTAGGTAGGTAAGTAGATAACTGGCGCAAACAAGCTGCTCTCGAAGAAGCGCGCTCTTGTGGAGGCCGAGGTAATTTCTTACAGTCACCTCAATGGCTGCATGCATCTGCAGGCGGTGGGAAGCAGCGTTTGTCAACTGCAGCTCCCCTGGGACTCCCAGCATCGGCACTCCGGCTCAAGCCCGGACCCCAGTGGAAAGTCAGCACCGGCACCTCGTCGCCAGGATGCACCCCAAGGCTAAGCACCGGCAGGAGTTGGGAACAACGACCAAGGGCTCGTATGACGCATGCTTGCGGCAGTTTCCTCATGTTTGTTCTGACATGAAGAGAACCTCCTGGCTCCCATCTGCTGAGCCAAGCGCCCGCCCGCCCAGGCCCACGGTCGAGACGTGCCACCCTCGTGCCAGGAGCCTCAGAGCTTCGTGCGCGGCGCGCGTCTCTGCAACAAGGAGTACCTGTCCCTGCTTCTCGGAGCAGAGCCCTCTGTTGGGTCCCGGGCTCTCTCCTCAGTTCCACCAGAACCTTCCGAACGCAGCCACTCTGCGGTGCTGCTCGAAGCTTCGTAGCTTCGCCCAGAGCTGAGGTTGCGGCGCGCTGCTGGAAGGCTCGCAAGGCCCCGGAGTCCGTTTCGTCCCAGGGAAGGAGGACTGTAAAGTCCTGGGAACACGATGCAAATAGCAGATATCAGATATCAAATGACGTTGCGTTGGGGCCGAATCGCCCTGCGCCGGGCACCCAGCGGCATCTGCATTCCGGGCCGCGAAGCGGCCCGTCACGGATCCGTAGACCATCACCTTAGCCTTGTCGCGTGCAAGACACGGCGTTGCAGCGGCGTGAGATGCCACGTTTCGTTTGTCCGGCAAACTTCAGAGCTCCCCGAAACTCTGCAAGGGCAGCCCAGGAGAGTTTCGCCAGGCATCCGAGGACTTTCGTATCGCAATGCAACCCCTGCAACCCCTTCCGCCTCGGCGCCCTCATAGTGTGCGGGCACGGCCGCCTGCAATTTTTGTGCCAGAGCTTGAGCCTCCCGTAGTTGCAAGAACAGGCGCATCACGGAACGAATCCCAGAACACTTGCACCTCTTGAAGTGCAGCTTCCGTGGTAGGGCGGAGGTGCTCCAGCACAGCGTCGAACGCCTGCAGACACCCGAGCGCTCCGCTATGCGAAAACACGCGGAGACGTCCAAAAAAAGCCGCTCCTCTGCACCGCGCGCCTCCTGGGCCCGGCTCGTGCACCACTCGCTGGCCGGGGCCGCCCCCGGCCCGAAGAAGCCGGCCGCTGCCTCACCCAAGCTCTGCGAGTATCCCTGTCCCGACTTCACCACGTCATCGGCGTGCCTCCACTGCCACCACGGGACGCGGTGGCTCCGGCGGCTCCGCTGCACCTCGGCCCCGTACCCCCCCGCCCCTGTGTCGAGTCTCTGTCGAGTTCGGGCCTTGCGGGCTGGGCTCCGCTCTGCGGTAGTCGCCTGGCCTGGCACTGATTTTCGCAAAACGCACTCTCCGCCGCACCGGGCACCGGGTATATGCCCCGGCCGCTGCCAGCGTGGCGTCAAAGCCCGCTCCAGGCGCTCAGCCAGAGCCTCCCTCAGCGCCGGGGTGACGTTCACCGGCCGCGTGCTCCTCACGAGAGAGAATGCCACCCTTAAGCAGCGCGGCCGCTACCGCGCGAGCTGCTCCACCGGCGCAAGTTTCGGTGTATACACCCCGAGCACGATGTCGCATGACCCTGCAGTGAATTAGACTCCCTCGCGGAACTGCGCTTTCCAGCTGCTCGCGGCCCCGACAGCTCCGGGAAAGGAACGTGATCCAGAACACAGGTGTGGGCACAAGGAAAAAAGGAGGGGCTGTCCTGAACATGCTGGGGCGCGCAAACCCCTGATCCAGAGGATCCTGACAAGTCAGGCCTTAAGTTCTGGCTGTGGTAGTTGCGGGTACGCAAAAAAAAAACATCACATCTGCGGCTTCTCACTCAGCACCGCTGCTCCGCGGCACCCGGCGTCCTCTGATGCAAACTCGTGCAACAGAACCTCCACGGCTCGACGGTGCTCCTGGCACGGCCGGCACTCTGCGAAGGTCACACATGAAAAGCGCCGGAGCCCCTGAAAAAAACAGGACTGACAATCCATCAGCCGTTTGGCTTCTTCTCGACCCGCTTTTTGGGCCATACTGCCATGCCGGGGGTGCCCCAGCTTTCTCGAGGGATCGAATCGTGGCATTACCTTTACAAGGAGTGACACTGTGACTCTGAAATCGGAGGCAAGTGCGACACGAGCTCAGTGCTAGCCATGTTGCAGGTGGCAGTGGTTTTTGCCAGCTTGAGCTCGGTCATGATGCTGACCTCTCAAGCATCTCACTCCCACTAAATCTGAAGCTTGCTTCTGCAACTGGGGCTTCTGCCAAGTGCAAGGCATCCTGCACTGGGAAACAACATTGGACATGATGTTGCCTTAAAGCTGACCAGACGTGCCTGCCAGCGAGAGTGGTTCGCACAAGCTGTAAGAGCGCTGTTGCAAACCACGGTGTCCAGCTTCACCGCCTTCGGCAAAGCGAAAGAAGGAAAAACCTTCGCTTCCGCGCAGTGGCCGCTGCAGCGCCTCGCTCCGCATGCGCTGGAGGAGCTCCAAAGCGCCCAGCCAGTGGCCCCCTTTGGTCATTGCCTTCTCGCGTCTTTCTCTCGAGCTGTTGCGCTTTCTACCGTTGGTATGATGTCTGGGGCCCAGGCACACACGGCATTGCCGAAGGTCACGGCATCGTGCCGGAGCCGTTGCTGGGCCAGCGCCTCACAGCAAAACCAAGATGTCCCGCCCTATTCCCCGCAGGGCCCGGCCCGGGGCCTGGAAGAGCTCCAGGGCCTTGGCCCATTCGCTGGCCTGGCTGACTCGCGTCGCGCCATCTATGGGGGGAGAGAAGAGTTTTTTGCGGGTGCTCCCCACCAACCGTCGCGTTTTGGTGCGCTGGGGGGGGGGGGGGGGGGGCACACCTTCTCGCAGGCACCCATGGCAACGCTGAAGCACACCGCATCTCGTTGCACCTGCAGTTGCCAAGGATTCTTGTGAGGCTCGCGCAGTGACAGCCGTGTATAGAAGTCTTTATGTGGACACCTGATACTACCCAGTAGAATGCCTCCGAGAAATGCACTAAAGACAGTTGAATGTTCAGCTCTGCAGACTCTGCTGTTCAGATATTCTCTGCACTCAGCCCTGCACCCCACATTAATCATTCGTTAAGTGCGTTGAGTTCGATGGTGGCTTCGCGAGAGCTGACCACCACTCAAAAACAAGGAGAATGTCCAAAAACAGGCCAAGCCGAAGTGTGCCGAAATATTCCGACTCAATTCCCGAGATCTCCGGCAAAATGCCAAAAAACATTCAGAAACAGCACGGACAGAAAGTACGCAAGCTCACAAATAACTAGAAACTGCACCAAACAAAACCAACACTGGCTAACACATAACCTACGAGAAATTCCGACACGAACAACAACAACGAAAGTAAGAATAACATGGTCTCCATTGCTCGCCCTGAAAATACTTTTCCGTGAGATCCCCTGGAGAATCGGCGCTGAACAACAGCAAGCTGTTACCTCGAGGAACGCTCCCTCGGCTGCGGTGTGATGAGATGTTGACAGCCTTCGCTTGGAGTTGCTGAGTTGCAGACCCTCATCTCAGCAAAGACCTGAATCCTTGGGCGCGTGTCAACATGTCGTGGCGACGGGAGCACTGCGCCGCACAAACCACGCGACCGAACTCTGCAGATTGCCAGCCACTTCTGTGAAGACTGTCACTGCGAAAGGCCCTGCGAGGCACTGGCGCTGCCTGCCACTCGCCAGATCGTGTCAGGGCACTCATAAGACTGCTGTAGCCTGGAATCAAAGAAGAGGTGCCAAGGTCTTCAAAACATCAAAAAGGCTTCTCACTCCGCACTTTCCCTGAGCTGAGAGGGTGCTCCTGTGAAAGAACTGAGGTCCGCTCTCGCAGCATCTGGTGGCATTCGTAAGAGACGCATCTGCGCCATGCACTTCCTGGCATTTCACGGCCAAAGAACTGCGACGCGAGGCCACATAGCGATCTCAGTCCCTGGCACAGCCTGTCCAGCCTCTGCCTTTGTCAGGGACCGAGCCATCGAAGCTTCGCTGCAGCCCGCTAGGCCCGCTGGCTGCATGATCCAACGCAGCGAGCACAGAGTTGTAGCCTTGGTAGAGAAGAGGCACATGCAATGATGTGGCATAGACTAGACCGGCACCTATAGCACCGAGTGCATGGCTCCTTGTGTCGGGCAGCACCTGCCGGCCAGCGCCGTCCCCCAACTCTCACCGCGACATCCCAAAGTCCGCGCGCTTCCGCCTCCTTGCTGGGCATGGCCCCGAGCAAAGCCACTGCAGTGTTCCAAGCGGAAGCGGAGGCGCAGACCAGGAGCGTCGCCTCGCACCACGACCCACAACGAAGCGAAAGGCGATGGCGACAGGAGGGGCAGACGTTGAAGTTCACGGTGTCGGGCTGAAGCGATGCCTGCACGAGTGACGGCACAAGGGGTGCATGCTCCCAGAAAGGGCGCGGGTGTGTCCTCGGGCATCTCTGCCAGAAGCTTCAGCGCCAGCTCCCAGCCTGAAAAGAACCAAAGGGTCGGTTGTGCGACGGCGGAGGCCACCGGGACCGCGGGGACCCTGAACTGGCGGTCCCTGCGGGCTGTACGGCGCAGAGCGGCGACGGCGGAGGCGACCGCGCTGCGGCTTCCCAGGCCTCGTCTCCACGCGTTTTCGTCAGAATGGTGCACGAAAGCGATCAGACCGTGGGCCGGCTGCAGTGCCGGCTGCCTCTCAGGCCACCGCTCTGCCCAGACTCTTCCCGCAAGCGCACATCTTTGGAGAACCACCGCCTCCCAAGCCTCGGGCTTCAGCACTCTAATGAGCTAATGTTAGCTGTAAGCCATGTTAACGCTGTCCGCCCAGCTCGTGGCTCACGCCGTCCACAGACCGGCCTAAACTCGAGCATTCCCTTGATAGGGAGGCTGGGATCACAACCCAGGTTTTGTGGAACGAATCGCAGGATTCGCAAGCCACCTGACAGTCCAGACCCACAGCAGGCTCGGATTTATTGTGGGCCGCCTTACTCCAACTCAATTTCGGATTCTTTGAGACCATGGCTTCGCCACTCTCATGCGGCACGAACTCGGGCCCGGAGCAAGTTGCGTGGCTTAGACATCAGTGTCCTAAATAAAGACCTTGATTGCGGGCACATATCGAAATTGAGCGGCGTGCAATGAGGAAGACTTGGTTGGGGCTGAGCATTCCAGTTTGGAACCTCCAGGGACGGTCAAGACCGGAGCTAAAACACTGCGAGCCGAAATGTAGCGAATGTAGCGCCACCCGCGCTCCCCACAGTTCCACGACATCTGTGCAATTTCCGCTTCCTGCGACGTTGAGTTCCTGCGAATTCACTGTATGCAATCTTTGCGGTGACTTGCTTTGCAAAGCTTGTCCATGTTAACAGTGCTCATTGGCAACAGTTTGGCCCGGCAGATAGCCAGTGTAGGAGCTGCGACGATTCCCGTTTTGGGGTATCGAACCAGTAGAATCAGGCAGCCGCAAGGAAGTGACAACATTGATTCACGAACGCCATGCGCTCTACCCAACCATTGGCAAGCACTTGTTCTTATAACCCACTACCATGCCGGCAGGCTGCGCTGCAATTTCGTCTCGCCAGCATAGATTGCATGGGAAGCAAACGGCCGCCGACTGAAGCGATGCAACAATTGAGTGGCCTTCGTCCATTTTGGCCGCATTACGGGGCGAATGCTGCAAGATCTCCAAGCCAGCGCAGTAGTGACCGAAACAATGTGTTGTGAAAACTGCTACTGATGCTACTGGCCCGGCAACACAACACTTCGCCGGCTACACGAACGAGTGACAGGCTCATCATCTTCAAAATGATTTGATTTGAAGACCTGCCACTCTCCACCCAAAGGTTCGCGACTCCCGGCAGGCAAGATGGAACTGAAGCATCTCCCGCCCCAAACAGCAGGTATTACATACCAACTTCGAGGAGCATTTGTTGCATCGGAAGAAACAGGCGCCGCCAGCTCAAGCAGTGCGTCTCTGCGCATCATCGCTCAGGTTAAAGCTCAACGTGTTCTCACATAATCTGTCACTCACTGTTTTGAGGTAGCCACGAAAGTTAAATCATTTAACTTTCGAGGCTACCTCAAGCAGTGACACAGCAGCACGCTGACGGAATACGGTCATACTTCCATCAATGCTCGTCGTCCTCCGAAGGCATGCTGCATGGCCAAACGGAGTAATGGATGGTACGGCCTGCCGTAGATGATGCCCTGGAAAATGTGGTCCTTCTTCTGCCCAATTGCCATGATCAGCCTCTCGGCAGGAGGATTGCCCGGCTTCATCACCAAGCTTTTACTCTCCTTCTGGATGGTCGGATGTCGTATAAAATGAGCTGACGCTGAACGGTTCGCAGCTGCTTTGCTCCTTTTGGGGCTTCCCGCGACAGAAACCTCATCTTTGCGAATTGTTGTGGTCCAAATAGCTCCACGCTCGTCCCATGTTTCAGTCCAGCATTTCTCCAGGCCGTCCAAGTGTGTGTCGACCACAGCGGCGTCATTGTCCGGCGTACGAACGGCGACCTTCAATGCCAAACACAGGATGCATCAACACATCACCACGACAACCAACAACACAGCTGAGAGCTCGTCCATGTTGGATTCTTCGAAAATGACATAGCCGAAACCGCGATGGCTGGATGCCTAGGCCCAGGCATGTTGATACTTGGCAGCACCGCGACTGGAAGCCCAGCATGCTGGATGTACTGGAATGCTGCATCATGCTGCACAGAAAAGCCCACGCATCGTAATTTTGGTGCTCCAGCCAAGCCTTCACGGATAGGCTGACAGTTCAGAGCTCAACGACAGCTATTTCCTCCTTGCAGTGAAAGATTCGCCTTCGTCACCTCTCCGCACGACAGCCAATTGATCGCTTGAGGATTTCCTGGCTCTACCCCGACTCCGCTGTGTGTCGCAGGTACTGCTTCTGCAAAACCCTTTCACATGCAAGGACATGTAGGACTGTTCTCGCAAATTTTCTGGCCTCCGGGTTGTGCCATCTGTGCATCGTGCCACGGGGTTCGTAGTACTAAGCCTCCGCAAGGGCCCTGAACCGAGCAAAAACCTATTTGCTTGGGTCGGGGCCCCCACGGAAGAGCCCGGCGACAACCGGAGATTTGTGGGAACCCTGTTCTGGGGAATCCCTCTCCGACTTCAGTGCTTCGCCGCAAGCTCTCATCCCCGACTCCGGCGGCCATGTGGGAGGCGAGCTGTTGTTCTCACCACCGAAGATGTTGTGAAGATGTTCTTGTCGTGCATTTCTCGCATTGCAATACTCGGCTGTTGTGGATTGACCCTCAAAGCAATGCATGTGCCGCATCATGTTTCGCAGTCGTTCAGCTTCGACACGGGGCACTTGCTTCAGTGGCTTTGTGCCTGGGGTAGTGCTTATACTGAAGACAGGGGCCTACGCCCAGCAACGGTGAGCTGGCCCCCTTCGACGCTCCTGCTAGCAGAAGACCTTGACCTCATGCTGCCCTAAGACAGCTTTTTGTCTCGCGGTGGCGGAGCGACATGCGAGGGAACAGATCGCCACCACTCGCCCACATCCACTGTACAGAGCTTCCCTGAGCCTCGTTGCCTCACTCTTGAAGGCGGTGAAAATCGTGGGCGCTTCTGCACCGAAGAGCCACGGTGCACCCTGCTTCAACCTCTGTCTCGGCTACCAGATGCCCGTCAAGGTGAAACCTGCGTGCGCTGAGAAGTCAAACGTCCTGGGGCACTCTGGCAATTCGGGGACTCTGCAGAACCCGTGCCGACACTGTCCTTGTTGAACTGCTTCCCCCACAGGTTGCACGGGTCCCTCGCAAGCTCCAGTGATGCAGTCGTCACAATGGGGCACACAACTGCATGGCATCCGAGCCTGTACGTGCCCAAGAGCTTGTCCCAGTACATGAACAAATGGCCGTAGTTATAAACAAAGAGCCTGGGACAGCATTTAGCAGACGGAACGGTACCATTGGCTGTTCAGCGATGCCTGTGATGTACGTGGTGGTCAGCAGCCGTTCCGAATCCCAGCTTCCTAGGCCAACGCACAGAGCTCAGCTCCCTCAGTTTGTAAAGCGCCAAGGCACCGAAAGAGGCCGTCCCACGGATGAACGAACTCGGAGTGGATCAGCACGAGCCTGTGCAACAAAATTGCATCCTCCACGGATTGCGCTGAGTCTCAATACCAGGCACCGGACCAATTGGCATAGAGCGTGCCAAAGGTCATATACGACCTGAGGAAGCCGCACCCCGCGGAAGGTTTTTCTTTTCGGTCGAAGCCTTCAGCAAGCCTGTGAGGATAAGGCCAAACATTGGCCGGAACCAAGCGCGCGGTGATGACCAAAGGGATCAGAATCATGCAAATCGTGTCGACCAAGCTGCCGTCGAAGGCGTCGAAGACGCCTAGGAGCCCACGCGATGAGGGGAGGGACTCGAAGGGCCTTTGGTGGAGGCCTCATGGGCTCTTGAAACTCCTCAAGCAAATATCTTTCGCTGGTTTTTCCCACGGATATCCACAAATTACCTTCGCTGCCCTCCTGAAACTACTCGCCCCCAAATTGCCTGTCTCAACGTCTATCAGTCCGCCATATGACCGGGACCTGACGCTTCCAAGGCACGTGGGTTCGTGAAGCGATGGTGCGGCTTGTGGGAGTTCTGGTACACCCACGTGGAAATCTCGGATAAGGGCACACAATCAGTGAGGTAAAGGCGCATGATACGTGAAGGCGGTCCGGAACAGGAACAGCTGGGTAGCCTTGTGCTCGCCCAGGTGCATGAAGCACTGGATCATGTCCTGACCCCACAGAGCCGAAACTGCTGAACCGCCGTCTTGGACATTACTGAGTCTCAGGAGCTTAAGCCCTCCCCCCCTTTCTACACCTCACTGGAGATGCTGTGCAAGCTAGGAGTCTAAGCAGGCTCAACTGAAATGTCGGGTGTTGGGAGAGTGTTGGGCTTTCGGAGATGCGTTTCGCCGGTTGGCCACCGAGCTTCCTCATGTGAGATCTCCGAAAAAAACAGGCATCTTGGCTTGCAAAGCTGCGAAGCAGCACACGCACAAACTCCCAAACTCCGGACGCAAAGGCTCCGCTGCTAGCATCGGAGTGACTATGCCGCCATTACTAGGGGTGGTCCTGCAATAGGAGCTGTGCAGCCACATGCTTCCAGCTGATGCCGCCAGCAAAAGAGTAGTACGAAGATGGCCTCAATGCTGGCGGCACGCCGGAGACCCATGAGCCGTCGTGACATGCTGAGGAGGCAACATCCAGCCGAGCATCCACGTTCCTGGCACTGCTGGAGTGAAGATTTCCGAAGAGCTCTGGGACATGGCTGACCTATCAGGTAGCCGCCCAGAAGGACGAAGCCTGACAAGGTGAAGCAATCTTTGCGGCGATGTTCTTGGAAGGAAGGCAAGATGGCCTTCAGGATTGGACAAGTGCGTCGACAGACCTTCTGAGAAGTCGTAGTCCCGCACCTGGCCACTTAACGGGGTCTGGGGGCTACTTCCAGGTGGATGACAAGCACAGGCCCAGTGCTTGTCTTGCCTGCGGCTGGACTCGCTTTAGTCCACCCAGGTGAGAGCTGCGACGCAAGTAGTGGTAGCAGATCATGAAGAACTCAGGCAGATCCGTGACATCTGGGGATGGTAGAAGTCACCTCTTCGACAGAGGGATGAGCTAGCAGGCCTGGCCAACGACCACAGCCAGAAGCCCCAGGATAAGCCCCAAGGGCTTGATCTCAGAGACATGGCGCGTCATGGCGTGCTCGAATGTCGTCACCGCATCATCGAAGAGCTTCGGCTTAGGCTTGACCTGGGAAGCGCACTCCTCGCGGATCCGCGACGCCGTACGGCCCCAGTGTCGGCACCACAGGAGCCTGCAGCTGTGACAGCAGGTGACTGCGGCGGGGAAGTCGGCAGCGCTAGCGGTTGTTCCCCACCTCATCGTACCACGATGGTGGAAAAACATTTCTGTAGGCTGTCTCGAACGTGAGAAACAGCCTCAGCAGCAGTGCAGCAGGGTCTGTGCAAGACAGATTCTGCCTGGTCATCTTGGTGCCACACGGCACTGTGCAAATTGCTGGCCATACTAAGCAGGCCTCAGGGTAGGGCACAAACTTGAGGAGCCGAAGGGTTTGTGTTCGCTCTCCACTGCAGTCAAGTTGCGAGAGCTACCAAAGACCAAGGAGACGCGGACGGACGCAGCTCCTGAGGGGCGCCTTCCGGGCTGTAATTTGGCGTCGCGAGCCCTCTGTGCGCGCACTGCAAAGAGCTGCCCCCGCGCTCCCCGGAGCCTTCGGTCCCATCGGTTGGGCGCTGCGCTTCCAGGATCGCCATGGCGGGAAATAAGCTTTTTGCGGCCTCGCCTCTGGTGCCTTGCAGCTCTGTGACGTCGCGATGCTCGCGCAGCGGTGGGTGTGGCTCTTGAGTTGGGTTGTCGAGTTCTATCGGATCTGAAAATGCCGCAAGGAAGGACCTACATGCCTGCCCCCCTCCCCCCCTCGCATGTTATGCCAATGATACCAGATGGGATCAAAGCAGCGGCCACAGATCGGCGCGCCACGTTTCTTTTTGAGCTCCTTCCTTAGCAGATCTCGAGCTGCGGAGCTCCGGCAAAGACTCCGGCAGAGCTCTCGGCCGAGTCTGTGGGCCCACTTCGCCCCTGAAGCTCCGAAGAGAGGAAACAGGAGATTTTGCCGACAGAACCTTGGGCTACCTCCGACTATCTGAGTCCACTGCGAAATCTCCCCTTGTCTCAGACTTTACACGAGAAATTGCTGCACACCTCCTACCGAGCTCTAATTAGAGCTTAACCGAACTCAAGCACTCCGCAGCAAGGGCCTTCCCCGGAAGAGTTTCCGGAAGAGCCTGGCACGCCGCCGGCACCAGACCCTGTAAGGGAGTGGTTCAAGAGGTTCCTGCCTGGAGATTGCCGAATCAACTTCTGCCCGGGCAAGCATCCACAGAACGAACCTCACGCCGCCAAAACGCGGGCTCGCGGCACCCAGACACCGAGCTCACCGAGCTCCCCCGCAGAAGGCCAGCCCCAGCCAGGAGCTTCGGCTTCTGCCTCCACTTGCTGCACCAACGACTTCACTGGACGGAGGGCGCAAGGCCAAGAGATGACACCGCTTTGGCTCATATCGGTTCATGTCGGTTCAGGCAAGCGTCTCAACTGCCTGCCCCTGCTATTTATCATGTCCTGCCATTCCGCCGTGCTCTGGGAAACCCATCGCATGTTGCTCTGACCACACGGGTGGGGTTTTCTACAGGAAATGCGGTGAGGTCCTGGGTCGTGGGACCGGAGACATAAGGACTACACCCGCCTGAAGATGCCAGCAACGGAGCGCCGGAGGCCCTCGCCGAGCCCCAGATCGCCTTGGCGACCGCTCTTCCGAAAGAAGGCGAAGCTCTCAGCCTCTGCGGCGCCTGTCGGCAGCTCCGTCGGCGTCTGTCTGTCTATGGGGTCCGCCTGCGGCGTCTCCTCCCAGAGACCGGAGTTCAAGGACGCCCAAAACTTACCAGACAGGACTCGCCTTGGGCGATGGAGACGGGGCGGTCTCCGAGAGCTCCAAGGGCTCCACCAGCTCCGCAGGAACCGCCGGCTCCAGCTCCGGTGGATCCACCTCTTTCCGTCCACTCCTGCCGCTGCGCCCTTTTGGACCGGCATCCCGGTCGCCGTTGTGATCCTTGGCCTCCCGAAACAAAGGGGCAGAGGCCAAGGGCCCAAGGCGTGTGTGGAAAGATGGCGCTTTTCCGCCTTGGCTGCCTCTCCCTGTCGCCACTCGTCGAAGCCCATCCAGGAAACTACGCCGTGCACCTGCAATTGCACCAGTTGACGAGTCTAACAAGCACGAAGCTGCCGCGCCTTCCCTGCAAGCTCCGCTGCCTTGCGGACAGCAGCACCACCAGAGGCCCTCTCAGAATCACAAAGGTTTGGACAAGTGGCAACGGCAACCTCTCTTCGCTTGGGCGGCCTCATCACGACGAGGACGTGCTGCGCGTCGATCGACTTGCACAAATACCCTGCATTGCTGATGAGCCTGCAAGGTGGGAAACAAAGCCCAGGAGCTTCGAAGCATGTTTCCGCTCTGAGCAATGACTCACCCCAGCGGCTGACATTTGGAATAGAAGCTTCCTGACATTTCGCAGTGTTGTCGATGCCACTCCGACGTCTAACTCAGGGCGCCTGATGAAAAGCACAGATGTGCGAGAGGCTTCAAGACAAGCATGGTGAAGCGTGGTGTTGTTTCTCAATACCCTCATTTTTTGGAAGTGCTGCTGACGTTTCCATGTGCTTGAGATCTCTGATCTGATCGGGGCGACAGCTCCTGTACCCACACCGGGTAGCAAAAACGCGAGCACGACCCGCGCCCCGCAGCACAGACAAGCTCAGCATCGACGTTCGCACTGTTTCTTGCCGAATGAACCGGGTGTTCCGGCGCATCGGCCCATCTAGTTCGAGAACTGGTTCGCAGGCCTGGGCGCATCGTTGCCGTCTACGGTGTCCAGGGCAGCCACCAGCAGCGTAACTGAGCAATAATATGCACTCTCAGATGCGAAGGTTCAACAAACGTCTCTTTGCCCCACGGCAGCTGAGACCGACACCGCGGCTAAGATCAAACATGCAGGCACCAACCTTCCAGAAGTCCAGTCGCCCAGATCAACACGAGTCGAGATGCCCCGCCTCCCCTTCTAGGGCCGCCCTGTCCAAGTCCAGATACTCGATGCCTTGGGTGCACTGGCCACTTCATGGGCGCCTTTCGATTCTCGGACCTCCTGCTTCTGGGGCACTCTTGTACAGGAAAAGCCGGTTTGCGCCCTGGTCGGAAGGGCATTCCAATCGCGATACTGTAGCTGGCAACAAGCAAAGAGCCAGCATAGCCTCACGCACTTGCGTCGGCGAGATGGCTCGAAGGTAGGCGAACAGCTGCGCTGTCATGAGGGAGTCGAAACCTGCCTGCATCTTGCAGCACAACTGCAAAGCTGCACGCAAAATCTGCAGGCACTTGCCCAAACCAAGCCTCGTGAGCCAGCTCGTTCCGGTCGGCTTGGGAGCCATAGCGACCTGCCAGTCACCCGGACAGACGGGCCTCTCGGGTCGGGCCGCATGGTGGAAGAGGCAACAGAAAGATCTCACAAAGCACCACACCTTATACATTCAGTGCACCTCTAGATTTTCTACATCCTTTGCAGTGTCGGATCGCTCTGCCCTCGTGGCACATGAGGTCTGCGGCTCCGGGCTGGCGGTCTCTCCGACGAGGCGGAACTTCAGGTGCGGCACGTTCCCGTTCCCCGCCAACTCCCGGTGCCTCGCCTGATGGCCCATCGGCACATAGATTCGGAGAGATTCAGTGGATGTGTGTCCAATGGCGACAACCAGTTTTTCCCCGGCCCTTCTTTGCCGTCGACTGCCGGCGGGCGGGCCCCGGCCTTCGCGTCCTTCGCGAACATCGTGAGGCCGAGGCGCTTGAAGCCGCCCAGGGCCCCATGGAGGTGCGCGGTGTCCACCACCTGGCGACGCGAAGTTCGGGCGAAGGAAGCATGGTGGTCTTAGAAAAAAAGACCCTTAAAAGGGACCCTAAGTTGGAAAACTACCCATGCTCTTGCCCTTCCTAAGTCCGGCAGAAAGTAAGAGAGTCTCCCAGAGTTGCCTTGGGCGTGCAGTGGCGGATGATCTGCGCCATGGCCCGCGGATCGTTGCGAGGCAGCGGCCGGCGCCTGGGACGTTACAAGATTATTGCTAGAATACACCATAATGTAGTCTACTAGAATATTATATACTATCATATAATGTAATGTAATATAATACAACATAATATAAGATAGTATATTAACATACAATATCATGTAAAAAAATTGGCCGCGGTCGAGGGGGAAATCGCCCCCGCTCCCCCCGGAGTCTGGTGTTCGTCGGGGCCCCCGGCTCGAAGGCGGCCAGCAAGAAGAAGAGGTCCAAAGGGCAATGCACGACCTTGGGCTTAGGGTTTAGGGTTCAGGGTTTAGGGTTCAGGGTTTAGGGTTTCGGGGTTTAGGGTTTAGGGGCTCTTCCAAGCTCTGGGAAACTTGTCTGCTCTTTCTCGGGCCCATTTTGGGAAGCCCCCGGCAAAGGGTAGCTGCCGAGCACAAAGGGCTTTCCAAAGCCGCAAGAGGCCGACCTTCGCCAAAGACTTCAGACTTCAGAAAGCACTTCATGCGCAGCTTGCGGCCCATTCGGCCTTCTCATCGGCCATGCCTGGCGATCTTAAAGGATGAACGCTTCTAACTTCACGGACGTGTGTGGAGACTTGCAGCTTCACAAGCGTTTTCTTGTTCTGGGTGATGACTGTATGCTGCACGGTTTGCGGTTTCCCGCTCGCCCAACCTTCCTAACTTCCTTCGAGCTCCAACCCCTAGAACAGAACAATAATGAAGGCAACGGATGAGGAGCTGCTCCTGTGTGGTGCATAACCGGCTTACCGTATAAGGGTGATGCCTCCGATGCTGGCATAGTACTTCTTGTAGCGGCGCTCATCCTCAGGAGGCCATCCATATGGCGGGGGGGGCGGGGGGGCCCTATAAGGGCAAAAAGAGGACGAGGACCTGCAGCCGAGGCCGAGGCCTCGCGGCTCATGTACGGGATCCCATCGCGAATCCACGTGTTAAAGTCCACGTTGTTGCGTGCATTGAACTGCAGGGCGGAGGCCTTGAACCATGGAGAGACCAAAACAGGTTCGAAACACCAAAAAGCGCCGGCCCTACCTGGCAGAAGAAGCCTTGATCCCGTCCAATCAGGTCGTTGCCAGCCTGGACATTCTCACAATGAAAACCCTCTGCCAGCACTCTCTTTTAAAAAACTTCCGTGGAACATCTTCTCAAGGTGGCTCTTTCTGCGGATGCAAGCCCGAAGAAGGGACCTGACCTAGTTACCTAGTTCATCGCTCTCTGAGCTTAGCGGCATATGGGAAGGCGAAGAGGTTGTAGCTCGCAAAGCTAAGGACGTCCTCCCTTCCGCCATTCCGCTCGTGGCCTGAGCAGAGAGCAAAGCCGAGAGCAAAGCCTCACGGCTGCATGCTGTGCACAGCCGAGCCCCGATCTGACCAAGGTCAAGCCCAGCTGGATCAGCGTGTACCTCAGAAAAAAGAACTTGGGCTCTCCATAAACAGCTGCAGTCTCAGTGCTCTCCGAGCCGCCGCTCGGCAATCCGGCAGTGCCGGTCCAGGCGAGACAGCGCCGAGTCGTCGAAGGAGTCGATCTCCCCCTGACACGGCGCCAAAAAGGCACAAAAACGCCCTCGGACACCACTGGCAAAGAGAATTGGCAAACCACATCCGGGTTCAGGCAGCTCAGGTTGGCTGAGCGGGCCTCTAGGTCCACGCCCGTCAGCTCTGTGTCGATGGCGACGAAGTCCGCGCCCGGCAGCCTGCTCTCGAAGTCGGCGAGGACCTCTCGAAGCAGACCAGCTTTGAGGCCTTTTCTCTTTAGAAAAGCCTCGAGTTGAAAAAGAGAGAGTCGTCTTATGGGGGAGCGCGCCTTCTTGAAGTTGCTCACGCGGCCTCAGCTGAGCCGACACTCGTTCCGACAAAAACCCCGCATGCCACAGGGTCTTTCGCCTTCCATCCGCCGAGTCCGGCCTTGCCTTTGGGCCTCTGAGACTCCGACACAAAAAAAGTGACGTCTCGAAGCTTTTGGTCTGCGAATCCCCCCGCCTTCCTCACATTCGTCGCGGGCGTGAAAGCAGCACGTGCTGTACAAGTAAGAGTAGCAAACCCCAAACGAGAGAGGGCTGCAAAACTGCAAACACTCGCGTGATGCTGCTTGCATCAGACAGCTGCAGTACGACTGCACCTTGCTACAGTCTCTGTGGCTTGAGTTATCTTTGCACGCTGCTTCGCAGCACCCTGCTTGAGCCTTTGCTCTGCGCCGGCCATATGTGTTGCGACTGCAGCGACGGCTGCACTTGTCACGGTGCTGCAGCATAGTAGGCACGGAAAGCACGCCTGACACTGTTTTTCTCATGATCGTGCTCGAAGGTCTGACAGGCCTTGTCTCTCTGCTTTTTCGCCGCATGTCCTGGACAGGGGCTTAAGCCTTGCACTGCGCTCTCGTGCCGTTCGGTCAATATCTTCAAGAGTTTCAACCTCCAAGCTCCTCTCATGCTCTGTGCTTAGACTCCTCTGTCGGGAGGAATTGGTTCTATCTTCTGCTGCCACGCTTTAGAGCAGAAAGCCGCATCTCAACAGGGTTTAGCCGCGGAGTCCGGCGGAGTCCTGGACATGTCGGCCAGGTTGCGCGCGAGGCTTTGGATCTCTTGGAGCGTCAACATCTGGCGCCGGCGGCTGGGGTAGTCCACGTCCTTTGCCCAGTCTTCCTCGGCGAAGTCCCAAGGCTTACGGCTTTCTCCAGAACCACACGGCAACTGCACGCAACTGCGCACGTGGAGGCTCGAAAGCTCACACTCGACCAGTCGGCTGAGACTCAAATTCTGCACTCTTCTGCTGCTCGACGACCCGGTCGACAAGGCCCAGCCCCGCATCGATCTCTTTGGCCTGAGACATTTATCTATACGATGCCTTACCGAGGCTATGGCCTATGCAATGCTAGGCAGTCAAGGCAGATGGACAAAACCCTCTCAAAGACTGCGTAGGAGCAGCGGGTGGCGTGGGCACGGTGCTCAGGAAGCGCGCGGCGTCCTCCAATCGGCATCGGAATTACACTCTTTCACACGCAAACAGACTCGTGATGAATCCTTCGACAGCTTTTTCCGGCCGTCGACGGGAGGGCGGTAGCCGTGCATCAGCCTTGGACGGCCAGAGTCTTCCATCCCGTGGTTGGGGTCGGAAGCTTGCACTTCCAGATAAGGCGAGACACAGCTGCTCGCGCGCCTGCGCAACTGAACCGTTCTGCTCCACGTGCTTTCTGGCCCGGTGCCCCGAGCCCTGCCTTCAGGAAGTGCTTGCGGGCCTGCAGGAGGACCTTGTAGTCTTGGGCGGGCAAGTGCTCGAGCGGCGCCGAGCGCCGTCCCGCAAGCCACTCGGACTTGTAATGCCGCCTGCAGTGGCCGGCTCTTGACTGCTCGTTTTTGGGGGGCTCTTGACTGCTGACGGAAGGACCACTCCGGAATGCCAAAGGCCAGATCGTGCAGGCCGTTGGTGACGTGATATTTCTGGCAAATGTCCTTCTGCAGGCCCCAGTGCAGGCCCTCCGTCAGCCTGCAGAAATCTGCAGAACTTAGAAGTGCTTGCGGCCCTGAAAGTTTACTAAGGACCCGGCTGGCCACCATCGAGGAAGGCCGAGCTAAGGCCACGAACATTGGTTCGGCCGGTGAGGACCTGTCGGCACTTTAAAGCAAGGCTCATTTCTCGCTGCCTTGGTTTCGATGTCTTCTCCCCACCTCCGAAATCTCGCGGGACGCTCCCATGAGCTACATCGCGTCAGAGGCTCACAAAAGCGCGTTGTCCAGTAGTGTTTTCTAGTGGAGGGCTGAGCCATGACCCGGTATGCAATGGACACCCTTTGGCCTTTCTGCTGCAAGGGTATGAGCTCAGGATCGCTCTGGTGTGGTCATCACTGCCAATCTGCTAGTCGACCAGCATTCCTCTTCTCTTTCGACCGTGGCTCGTCCGAAAACCCTTAAGGGCAGCTCTAACAAAGTGAGCCCGTCCGAGGTAATCACTTCCCTCTTTTATTAAACACACTCCTAATAATGGAAACACATTGGACCCAATCCTCCCGAAATCACTTTAAATCTGTTCGGAATTAGGCGGGGTTAGGGTCAAAGGTTGAGGGTTTAGGGCGAGCCTCCCTGGTTGACAGCTGTCGGTCTTTTCTCAGCTGCGTCGGCCTGTCTGCAGCTCGGTCTGTGAGCGTGGCTGTCCGAAGCCTGCCTCACACTTTCTTAAATCTGCAGGCCTGTCTCCCTGTCAGCCTGAAAAGACTCAGTCTGACAAGCTTCAACGTTTTTGGGTTGAAGGTTGGTTTAGGGTTTTAAAGGCTCCAAAAGGGTTTTTCTGCCTGTGACAGTAGAGATACAAATATGTCCTAATAAAATAACAATAATAATACGAATAATAAGAATAACAATAATAATAATATAATAGTATTATATAATAACACCTTCTGTGTATCTATTGGGGGGCCGATTAAAACAAAAGGGGGAAACGATTAGTCGCCATCAATGCCTAATGAGGCCTAATGAGGATGATCGTGGACTTCAAACCGTTGCAGAAGGACGAGTGCCGCGAGGCCCGCAAGGAAGCGCGCCGCAGGTGTTGATGGCGCCGAGCCCATCGCAGCACAGCAACTTGCCCGGCAAAGGCGCTGAAAATCAGATACCAGAAGCATTGCTGTCGTGTGTCGTGCTGCCGGCTCCTTCTGGGGGCAGCAGCTGTGGAACTGTACCATGTGTTCCGAACATGCTGCTGGCAAAGATGGGCCGCAGCCGTCGCAGATTTCAGCCCATAAAGTGAATATGTCCTTGCCAGAAAGTGGTAACCATCTGCAAGTCCGCGGAGAACAATACCCAGGTACCAAATGTCTGCAGCATGGCCATAAGCTTCGCCACAAACACGTTCCGGCGAAAAATACATTGTGGTGCCTGGTTTTGAGTGGCACAAGTCACCCGAGCACTTTGCCAAGCCATTATTTGCAAGCTTCACGCTGCCGTTTCGGCTGTGCAAAATATTCGTTGGCTTGATGTCTCTGCGCATGAACGCCCGCGGATGCAAGAAGTGCAGTCCGAGCGGTGCATGAAGCTGCCGATCATAATGGCAAGAATTTCGCTCGCGCGCCGGGCAATCAATTCCGAAAGACTCCCAAGACTCATAAACTCCATCGCTATGTGGACGCTATGGGATTGCGGAGAGACACAAATAGCCAACCAATCGATAAGGTGCGGGCATTCCCCTGCCACAGCCAAGACCTCAACCTCGTTGATGAGCTGCTGGCGCTTGGCAGCGTGTGAGGTTGCTATGGTCTTAATTGCTACTGGCGCGCCATCCCTTCTTCCTCTGCGGACAAAGCCACCGCACCCTGATCCCAAGACGTCCTCAAAAGCAACAATGCTGCCACCAAGCTTGTTGTTTACAGCTGCAGTGTGCTGGCCGAGAAGCATAGTGGGGGGAGCCGACATTTGCTCTGGCAAACACTGACCCTCAGGTAACATCGAAGTTGCGGATGCGCATCCCGGCAAGACTGCTCGCAACCCAGCCCGGAAGCTGCTGTCCGGTTCGACAATAGCGACGGCAAAGCTTCCACCTGCCAAGAACAACATGAACGGCACAGTTCATCTGCGGTCTGTTTCATGCCAGCCTGATGCTGATGGACGCTCAATACTCACAACTTCAAAGCTTTGGCCAGTTGCAGAAACTTCGTTCGTTGGCCGCATCGCGTTGGCCAGCCGCGGAAAAAACATGGTTCGCTGGCACTGCAGCAACAAGCACGAGGACAATTCCAAGCGGAACCGGTTTTCAAAATATTTGACTATGGTTCCCATGATTTCGTGTACTTTCTTGCCGGTCGAAACAAACCTCCAGCTTTACGTCAGCAATGAGAATAAAACATCGGCTGTGCCGCAGCAAGCGCCACTACTCATTTGGCATTGATTCGCACTCACACCGGCAGGGACAAGGACGAACACGTATCGATCACGCGTGGCACCCTTTATGGATGTGTCCTGTCATGCAACGCTGACGTTTTTAAGGACAGGGATCCTAACAAACATGGGAGGTTTTCAGACAAAACGGACGATTAAGTGCTAACAAGAAGCGCAAGCAACTTCACATTTGAGGGCACTACGAATAACCACAACAGAAAACGCACAAAAGCAAGAGGAAACTAAAATAGAAATCGCATATTGATATATTGAAACTTTTCGGAACATTATTTGCACAGGCCGTGCAGTGACTCTACCGCCGCCAGGGTGGGTAGACTTGCGCACGCACACTTTTGACGCTCACCCTGGCTGCACGCGAAACTTCCCAGAAACGACAAAGAACGTGGCCGACATTGCCGTATGTGTGTCCGACTTTGTGGTGCACAAAGTGACCGCATGTCCGGAAGCCTCCAAACTGCTGCAGGTTCAATCGCCCAGTCGACCCATATGGACAGCATCCTACCACTACATAGCAGGCGAACCGGCTGTTCCGCTAGGAGTATAAAACTCACCAGCCTGATGTGCTGAAACGGCAAGCATAGTATCTGCCATGGCCTGTCGTTCCGCGAGTTGCCCAGCATGGAAGCCCTGGCAATAGCAACGTGCTGAAACATCTTGACTCAAGACTTTTCCGGACGGCCTGAAGAAGGGCTTCAAACTGGCTGCATGTGAGTGGCCCGTTCGGCCTATCAGCGGGAGGTGCCATCTGAAACACCCAAACAAAACACCCTCACCAACATCAGCGGCATGGCGGTCCAAAAGGCTGTGGTCGTGGCAGCGTCAGCGTCAGACGTACATCTTTGTAATGATGAGTGTTTGCTGCCTCAATTCCATGGGGCATGTGCTGAATCCATCTCCAGCACAACAACTTGATCTGATACGGCTTATGTTGAAACCCTGTCAAGCAAGCGGCTAGCACACAATGCACTTGCCCAAGTTACAACGTGCATCTTCCACAACTGGGCATGCCTTGTTGCGGGAGGCTTCCCGTTTCACAGCGCCCGCTCTCATTTACCACAATGCAACGTGGCCGCCGAAGGGGTGGGTTCCGCCTAAGTTTTTTAGGAAGAATGTTGAACAAAAAGGAACTCCGACAGGTCAGAACAGTATTATCGCCCAGCATTCCGCATACGAATAGGATATTCTTATAGAACAAAAGTTTTATGTAGGGGTGTTGATGATTGATGTTGTTGAGAAGTTTATGCACGTAGTGCCAGTGAAGAGCAAAAAGGAGGCGACGTGGCGAGTGGGATGATTGAATGCCCACATAAGATGGAAAAGAAACCCAAAATTGTTTATACAGATGATGGAGGCGCTTTGAATAAGGAGGCAACACAAAGGTTTTTCAAGGACGAGAACATACAACACCACAGAACAAGAGCACATCCAAGTTTTAGCGAGAGAGCCATCCGAACGTTTAAAGATATGTTATATAAGAGAGTTGAAGCAGACGCGACGACAGGAGCCTCGCGAGGCATTCGCCACGAAAAAACGGGAAGGGGAACATAGAATGGACGGACTACATCCACGAAATATTACTAGCGTACAATATACAAAAGAAGCACTCGGCAACGGAATTTACCC